GTGGATATAACACCGGTAGTAGTTATCTCAATAGTGCTGAATTGTACAATCCATCAACAGGCACTTGGACAATCATAGGAAACATGAGTGTTGCACGAGAATATCACACAGCATCCACATTAGCAAATGGATCAGTATTAGTTACTGGTGGATATAACACCGGTAGTAGTTATCTCAATAGTGCTGAGTTGTACAATCCATTAACAGGCATTTGGACAACTACAGGAAGCATGAATGCCGCACGATATCTTCACACAGCAAGCACATTAGCCAATGGATCAGTATTAGTTACTGGTGGGTATAACAGCGGTAGTAGTTATCTCAATAGTGCTGAGTTGTACAATCCATCAATAGGCACTTGGACAACCACAAGAAGCATGAGTGCCGCACGAGAATATCACAAAGCGTCTACATTAGCAAATGGATCAGTATTAGTTACTGGTGGCAGCAACAGCGGTGGCGTTCTCAATTGTGCTGAGCTTTATTAATCGATATAGACAAAATGACACTTTCTTTTGTGAACTGAATCATAAATCCTTTTTATATGTAATCAAGCTATTTAGTCATTCACATTTCTTAATACAGTATCATTCGCCAAATAATATATGAGTTTCAGTAGTACTTCGAAGTGATATTGTATAGCGATTGTTAAAAAAGAGCCACGATTGATAAAAGACAGATCATTATTTGTACAACTAATTGGATATAAATACAGATGTAAAGAATATTAATTATTGTTTGCTACTAAGTACATGTATTCGAATGAGAGTGTGTGTGTGCGTGAGGGAATGGGTGAGTGAGGGAATGGGTGAGTGAGGGAATGGGTGAGTGAGTATGGGTGTGTATGTGAGTGGAGGTGTGTTCTGTTTCGGATATTTCCACATCGTCACTCTGAAATTTTTTTTGGCAAAATAAAACCTGTCGGAAAAGAGTAACTTTCGGAAAAACAACCTTTCGGCAAAGTGATGGTCGGCAAAGTGTAACCGACCCACAAAACAATACAAAAGAAATCGCATCATCAACACGTTCGTGTTCTATCAACGAATGTAAACATTCATGTCAAGCATTATGTCTCTGTTGTCAACATTATTTATGTTTTAATCATTTAAGTGAACATGATTAACAAATTAATGCTCAACTTTCATTATTAACTTATCAAATTAATTCAAAGGAGAAGAAACAATCAGAAAAAAGAATTAATTGACAAACAAGAAGGAACAAAAAAAGAAATTGATTTAATAAAAAAATTTATTAAATTTATTGAAAAAGATATTAATGGTAATCTCATTAGTATTCAAAATAGAATACTCAAGAAAAACTTTCATAAATAATTATCTTGAGTCTATTGAAAATATTTCTCTGTAAAAATTCTCTATCTGATAATTATTTTAGATAAATCTTTTGCAAGGTCGATGGAATTATCAAGATGGGAAATTGAACAACAATCTTCTGTAATTACAGATTCAATGATTAACTTAATCGATACATATGAATCATTGAAGATGCAGGAAATAAGAAAAGATATGAAAAATTGGCTTAATGAAATCTATAGAAAACCATGGAATGTTGAATATATTGACAAACATCAAAACCAATCCATTCATATTTATACGAATGAATATTTAATGATGAAAGAAACATCATAATAAGGAAAAATCGAAGATGTGAACGTATGAATAGGGTGCGGGTTTAAAAAAATATTCTCTCATATTATTATTTCACGCTTATTTACAGTAATTTTGAGACCTAAGTAATTATCGAAGTGAGAATGTGTCGTAAAGAGACAATTGTACAAAACAACTGCAATGCTATCAGTTCTCTGAAGAAGAGAAATTAAAAGAAATAGAAAAAGCAAAGTTTTCTTAGTAATGTTAATTATCTAGATATTATTGTTAATGATAGAGAGTCCCTACATATATAAGTATTATCTGGAAGCGCAAATGACATATTTCAAAGACAAAAGTCGTTTCTCACTAACTTTGTTTCTTTTTATAATAAATTTCTAACGATTGATGACTTCGATAATAATAATCAATCTGATATTGCTATTTTTTATAGTTGGAAAAATATTGACTGATTTTATATTCCGATATTCATTCGTAATATATTTCATTTTATCTAGAGATATGTTAATCACTCTGATTTTTCTTGCATTATAGTTTGATTTTTTCAATAATTAGTAAAAACAATTATGCAGATAATTTAATAATTGAATTATCATTCATAGATATGAAAGATTTCTATGATTCATGAAGGTAAAATAGATTTAATAAAAAAATCAATTAATAACTATATTTGACTCGATGACTTATAAATGTGACTATAAATTTATGAAAGGGTGTGTGTATATTATAGTTGTTGCACACCATGTCCACCCGAGTATATCAGTCTTCATTGGAATAACAACATGATTTCATCAAAAAATTTCTTATTTCATTTATATATTTGATTAATTATTGATGAAGCATAACTATATTTTCTTTCATTCCACAAGTAATTATATTCAAAAATATATTTTTGTAGATGACAATCAAAGTTACTATGCGTAACACATATACAAGAAAACACCGTTGACATATTTTTCCTGACTAATATCGTATAACATACGAATTTTTTTTATATTTTACATTATTTTAGATTTTGCTCGTCAGATGTCTTCTGGCGGAATAATACGTCCAAATCAAAGATATAGAATCCAAGGTGAATTCTATACTTTACTCAGTCGATTAGGCTATGGATCATTTGGATCTGTCTGGACATCGAGAACAGAAAACGGTAGGAATATTTTCTTAAGTTCATCTGATAAAATCTTCACTTATCTGCTATGTTAAATATATGTATTATTTTGAATAATAAATATCTCATAGATATAATATCATTTTGATTTCTAGGTGATTTTGCTGCTGTGAAAGTATTTGATCTGAGTCGTTCAGGAAATCGTATTCGTTTAAATGAACGCCAGAATTCTTTTCGAAATGAAATTAAAATGTTGGATAGAATGCGGAATGAAACTGAACATATTGTAACAATGTATACTTTTGAATATAATCCACGAATTAGTATGGCTTTTATAGCAATGGAATTGGCAGATGAATCGTTAATAGATCGAGTTAAAAATCTTCATCAAAGACATCTACGATCAAGAATGTTCGATCGTTTCGATTTTATTTCAGCAAACGATCGACAAAACATCTGGATTCAATTAGTTAATATTATTCTTACACTTCATCGATATGGCATAGTAAGTTTAAATTAATAAAAAATATTTTTTATTTTCTTATGTGTAAAAGAGTAATTGTTATCAATTTATTTCATAATAGATTCATTGTGATTTAAAACCGGCGAATTTATTATTTTTCGGGCCATTGTTGAAAGTTATTGATTTTGGTATCGCACAAGATGAATTTACTGGGTTAGTTTCATATTCTTGTCTTTATTCTATATCGTTTATCTTTCATGTAGATACAATCGACGTCAAAGAATAGGTGGTACTCGTCCTTATAGTGCACCGGAATGTTTTTCAGATCGAACACCTGTTACATCAAAAGCTGACATATGGTCAGTAGGTGCAATTTTATACTTTTTAACTTATGGAAAAAGACCTATATATGAAACTGCACAAGCACCAGATGGTGTTTCACAAACGCGTTCTCGTCTTGTTCAAGATATTCTTCAACATTGTCTTCAACGAAATGCATCTCGACGACCAGATCATCAATGGCTTGCTCAACATCCTTTAACGATACCTCCGGGAATATTTTAAATTGATAAAAATTCATTTTATGTAAAGTTGTTATAATAAATATAAAATTAGAAAATTTAATAGAATCTTAATCAGAAAAACAAAAAACAAATGATTGTAATTGAGGAAAATTGAAAAAATACGTTTTCACAGTGTGGTATCGGTGAAGAGAATATACGAAAATATTGATGAATAAATTGATTGTATATCATGAAATAAAAATGTCACTTTGATTTATAAAAGAAACCTATCATCATGAGTTTTAAATGCTTAATAGGATTGGATCATAAAGAGTCTACAAAAGATGAATTTATTTCTATGTATCATTCTCAATATGATAGTAATAACTGTAGACTAGAAAAAAATTGCATAATTTAATCATACATATTCAACAGAATATAAATGCTTTTTTTATTGCTGATCTTCAGTATTATCTTCACTTGTATATCGGAAACAATCGATTTATAGTTTATTTTCAACAAGTACGTATAAATACGTTGCATTAATGTTTACTGGGAGCTTAACATCAAATTGATAGAATACGATATTTTTAAAAAGCTGAAGAATATATCTTAATATCAGTTCATGATGCACAAGATAAAGATTTATTGGAAAAAGCATCGTATTATTCAAATCTATTAGTATTTTATAATCAACAAATGAATTATGATTAGGGTTTAATTTGAGCTGAAAATGCGCTTCAGTTTTGCTCATTTGAACTTTCAACATTATCAACTAACAATACTAATATGAGCGTTTTTTATGTTAAGAAAAATAATGCATGCAAAGAAACCAGCTATCTTTGCAAGACAATCGAGATTTATATGTATTTGAGTTGAGCATATAAAAAAGAAAAGAATTTTCCAAAAGCAATAGAATATCTTCTTCAGATAATTGATATTGCTCAACAGTCATTGCCAGTCAGTCATTCAATATTTGCATTGACTTATGATCATCTTGGAGATATTTAGGATGTCGGTGTGTATTCTCCTCATTCATTAGTCATAGCCTTACTCACACGCACACATACATCCACCTTCAAGATTTGGTTGCATAATGTTTTCTTGTCATTGAGAAACAAAAAAGTTTTTTTATATTAAATATGATAAGCGCTGTTGGCCAAAGTCAAAGACAACACACAACTTGCTGTGTATTCAATGCAACTAAAAAGATATTTATTTTTCGTTCTTCAACGGGTGAATTCGAATAAAACACTTATCATTTGTTGTTATAAGACCATTGCTACTTTTTTGTGTGTTGTAATCGCTTACTCTTCACTTTTTATTAACTATACAGAAAACTTGCTTTCTACGTTAGTATTTTCTCATACATGTTTCATGAACATATTTCTAGATATAATGAAGAAATATACAATTATCTTGATCTTTCTCAACGCTCTTTTTATTTTCGCTATAATGGGTGGTTCAACATGTCCCGAGGCAATCCCATTTCCTTCCTGGATGATAGGTCATTTCCAGGCGCAATTTGCAGATGGTTTGTTAGCCAACGAAACTTTTGGATTGTTATATGCAAATATAACGTATTCAAACGGTAAAAACGGAACTTTAACTTTGACAAAGCCTCTAAATAAAAGCGAACATTTCTTCATCTGCTATGACTGTATTCATATTCAGAACACAGAACCTCAACAACGCTGCTCACTTTTAGTACCTAATTGTAATGGTTATAAAAAGTACATTCACAAAGCGCCGGAGCTCGTTTCAAGATGCCCCACATCAACCTCATCTCCTGATGTTGTACCAGAAACAGTCGAAAGAAACGGCTAAATTGATATATCTAAATTTTTTCAATCAAATTTCCACATTAGTTTTCATCTTTTTCAAATCTTGAACTGCTTTAATTCTTCCAAATAAAATGTTCAACTTTACTTGTATATTCTTGTATTTAAATTCGTTAGTTTTTCAGTGAGCACGATCACTAAACTCAATTATGACGAAAATAAAAGTATTCAAACAGAATTACGTAGAAAACTGCATATTATTCATCTATATATTCGTAATAAGGTAGATATGTACAATTTTTCTTTTTTCAACAAGGTTATGAAGTACACCGGAGTATATATTTTAGATCCTTAATCAAAATTATTTAGAACCATATATTTTACTATGTAACTGCTGCAAAATTTTAATTTTTAAAATTACACTAAAATTGTTAAGCAACGATTTGCTATTTAAATAAGTCTAAACTTGTCAAACCTAGTCACACGTAAATTATATACATTTTATTCACTATCGTTTAGTGATTTTTTTTATAAAAATACCATCGTACTAATTTGCCAAAAAAATTCATTGATGCAGCTTCATTTTTCCTTTTAAACGGTAAAACTGTAGCACTCTATTTTATTGGTATTGATAACTACTGCAAATACCATTTTGAGAGTATGGATATTGTATTTATATTACATTCACAACCTCATGCCCACTTACGTACACTTTCTATGTGTTCTACGTAAAAGAAAACCAAATAAGAAAAACAAGCACGATGGGTTGAGATATTTATTGTAACAATATTTGTTGTGTTCTAGTGATTCCTTCTCATTTCAAGTATTGCTCTTATTTCATACATCATGTAATATTTTGTCCCCCCATTTTCTTTTGTTCTGTCTGGCAGACGGATACATAAGTGTATGGACTGTATGAAATCGATACGATTTCCGACAAGGAGAAATATAATAAAGTGCAATACTCTCAACATAAACATTTCTTCCATTAAAAATCGCCACCGTCAGTTTATTATATAAGAATCAGCAATAACAATTAAACTTTTACATATATAATATATTTTTGTGACAAATCTTGTTCAACTTTTAGTATTTGAAATGATACCCCACTTGGCATTAGTACTTCTTGTTCGTGTGGATAGTTCGATATATGAGCAATATCATATGCTCATGGAGAACTAAGTTTTACATTTGTTTACAGACTTCTATATTCATATAACCTAATTGTAATCCTCTACAAACAATACCAATAAAATCTTGTTCAAGACAAGAATAATTTCGAATAAGATAACATAATGGTCCAAATGTCTCATTTTTTCTATAATCTTGTTTTTGTAAAGCTTCATTCAAAGCATAATATAGAAAAATAAATACATTGTTTGGATATTTCTGCACGAGATTTGTTTGAATATTGACGAATTGTTTCAGCCATACATGCTGCTTCTGCATTACTATGATTACCATCCAAACCAGCTTCACGCAAAATACCTTGAGCACATGCTTTAATACATTTAGAGAAATGAATAAAAGCGTGTTGACCAGCAGAACTTTTGAGTCAAGCAGTTAAAACTGGACACCAACAATCAGAACTACTATAAGATGACGACAATGATGAAGATGTACGTGATATTAATGGTAGTGTTGAACCAAAACGATATTCACGTAAACATTCTTTTTGTGTTGAATCAGTTAGTTTTATTTGAATAAGCTCTTTCAAATCTATTCGATATCAATCTAATAGTACATAGGGTTTATTCTTTTGATAAGCTTCTTCAATCAGACTAATTTCAATATCTCTATATTTGCTACATTCTTTTTGATTTGTATCGGTTATTGATGTATTTGACTACGGATTAATACTCAATTTATAATACCAGCAAACATTTTCAGTCATCATTGAGTGATTATTTGCATATACTTTTTTAATACTTCTTTTCTTCTCGACTGTATTTCTTTACATTTATATTCTCCGAATATATATATATATATATTTATTGAAGCATATAATTATCGACGCAAAGAAAAGAAACCATATCGAAATCAATAATATGAATACATGCAGTTTTACATTCACTAGAGTGTGGGTGCGGGTGAGTGAGGATCTGAGTACACGTTTCCTTTACCCACCCACACCCATTTAACAGTATGGGTTTTTTCTCGTTGAAAAATGTTATTTTTCGTCGCTTGTTTGCTCTGAGAGAATAGAGACGAAATGCATTTCTTCTGCCAACAAGAACAAATCAACAAATGAGCTTGCTGCTGATAAATAAAGATTTTATTTATGAAACAACATACAAAATGTGCGAGAGACGTGTACAGAAGTTCTACATCAGAGATTAAAATATAAGAGAACAAAGAGACACCCATCGTCAAGAATTAGAATTTCGCAATGACGGTGTCATTACGAAATTTCAAACGCGTTTATATTTGTAATTTCGAAAGTTTCTCTGCCTTGACATATGGAAAAAAACATACACATAGAAGAACAGGCAGGATGATGCAATAGAAAAGAGAATGAAAAGAAATTTCCATATTGCTTCTTACAAAGCTTGATTAATATGATGTAATAGAGAAAACGAGTATATTTATGAATCGAAGTCGTAGGGCATATTCACCTTACAGAATAAATATATTCTCAATACTAATAGGTACGTAGTTTCGTTTTCTCGTAAATATTTTTATACTAGCAATAAAAGAAACTTTTATTTCATTACGTTAGATCTACAATGAATGAATCAATATTAAATCATTTATTTCTACCATATCATTTACCGTCTACTGCTAACGATGATTTTTTGCTTGGAAACAATAATAAAAATGAATTTCTGCTACTCGAATGCATGGACGAATTTCTTCGAATCACTCAATTAGTTGATGGTGATAATTCCTTACGGAATATTCGAGTTCTTACAGATTGTTTCAGTCGTTGGTCAGTTCGGCAAAACTCTCAAAATATCTCAATACAAAATATACAAACTACCCTTGAAAATTTACCATCAGGTAGTTTTACACCACTCTACATGCCGGCTCAAAATGCAGCAATTGTAATCGAAATCGAGTCAAATAATATTTCGCGACCACTTCTTTCATCCTGGCAAGTTTTATTACCAGTGGATGAAATAACATCTTCAGTTTTCTGTCACTATTCATCATTTCCTGTGACTGAATATCGATTAAATGAAATATCAGAATTAACGTCTAAAATTAATTGTGAATTACTCGTTGATTTCATGAAAAATACGATCGAATATTTACCATCCCATAATTTACCTAAATCACATTATGTTTGTCAATGGTGGATTCAACAATTCAAAGATATTCAACAAAACTCCAATGGTAATTCTTTAATTCAATTCAAGAAAAAACATCGTGATCATATTCATTTAAATAAAGAAGACGTACCTTTTCGACGTTCTGGTCTATGGATGACAATGAAAACGGTTATCGAAACTATTTTAACAAAACAATTCGGAGAACTTGGTATTCTTATTTACAAATTGTTGATTACTCATTTTTTGATTTACATACTTGACACAAGACAAAAGTATTCAAAACAGAGAGCAATATCTATGGACTTATCGATTTATTGCATTCGAAAGATTGTTCGTCGGATGAATAAGATCGAGAATAGATTAGCTTTAATTACGATTGATGACAACGATGTCGATAGATGGATTCGACATATCAAAAAAATTATTGAAATAAAAATTGATGAAATTTTTCCGAAATCATTTTGTCAAGATATAGTACAAACTACGAGTTCAGCGCATCAATTTTCTTCATCGAGTGATACAGATTTTAATAGCACCGCAATATATCAACATGCATGTGTCCAATTGAAAACATTTCTCAATGATAACCGTTTAAATAAACCGGTGGAAACACGTTCTAGTGATGATAATACTGATGACTTTTTCGATATCAATTATCCCGATAATATACAATTTTATTCTGAATTAATGCACAAAATGAGTTATACGATGGGAACAGCGTTGACACGAGTGGAAATTTGGGTAACTTCACACTTACAGGAATGGTTGGATGATCCCACACCACTAACAAGCGGAATGAACCGGTTTGAACATTTACGTGAATTCTTTGAAGATTACCAAAGTGGAGCATTAAGCTATTATTGGCCTCAGAAAGGTTCAACTGATCCTATAGGTTATTCACGATTTATTCTCACATCATTGACGATTATTCATTGCATGCACAAAAAACTATGTGAAGATCCAGGATTCGAACGATTAAAGAATCATACTGTTTCTATTCCACATCTATTGAAACTATTTAAATATTTAATTTTACCAACTCGAGAAGATATGATTCGTGCTCGTTATTTATATGATTATTTTCGCGAATTCAGTACAAAAACATATCCAGATCTTCTTAGTAAAATCAATTCGACAGACGCATTCGGCGTTGCTTATGCTACGAGTAATAATTCCATGGTTCAAAATTTATTAAAAATACGAGCACAAGCTGAAGTAGACAGACGGGCAAAAGTTGAAGAAGTGAATCATGCGAAATGGAATTACAAAAATTTAATGAAATCAATTCGAAATCTTTCTTGTAGTTGTCGTCATAGTTTAAAAGATAAACGAACTACATGTGAGAAATGTTCAGCACAAGAACAAGCCGATAATATGCAAGTGGATATTTTTGAATGCCCAATTCCGGAAGAAGATGTAGATGCTCAAGCTGTTATATTTGAATTACAAATGCCAATTGAAATTAGAAGTTATCGCGATATTCTTTGGCAATTCATTAACCGTCGTAAACCACAATCTGACAGTAAAGTGCGAGAATGGTCAACTAGTCGTTCATATTGTGAGAAACTAAGTTTATACGATACTGGTCCAGATATTCGTAGGGTTAAACTTATATCTGATAGAGAATCTTATACAGAACATAACTATACAAGAAAAATCTCATGTACAGCAGTCGATGGTTTTTTAGTGAAAAACAATTTAACAGTGAACATTTCTCCAACAGTACCTACCAAATTCAGCGATGAACATAAGGTGTTAACACCTCAACTTACTCATCCAGATTATAAACAACTACAATTTACATTAGATACAACGAACGATATGCAAAATGAAGTCATTGCCAAACTGCCTCAATGTCCACCACGTTTCAAACCAACGCAATTTATTGAATATGGTTCATTTCGATCTGGTCATCGTTTACAATGGCTAAACTTATTAGCAGTTTTAGAGATGGATTCTTTATCGATTGCTGAAGAAAGTGTTGCGATATTAATCCTACATTCGATATTACAATATGGTCCAATAGAAAATTTTCCAAAAAAACAAAATGATTCTTGGTGTCCTGAATCACATCAACAATTATTGGAAGATAACTTTGTTGATGAATTAGTTGTCAGATTAAATCAACATCTTGATAATTGTGGATTAAATTGGCAAAATGACTTAGTACTCGTTGTCATAACAATAGTTGCTATGCGTCTATTCACTATTTGCAATACAACAAAAGAAAGTCTACTTATTGATCTTGTTATGAAATGTCGACAAATTGGTGAAAAGTGGATTGAACGCATTTCAGAATACACTCAAACAATGTCATCATCTGATATTAAAGAAACAGAAAAACTACGATCGAAAATGATTACTATCAGTATTGCTTGTATGTTCACATTCTCAACTCATCACGAACGGATTAATTGTCTATTAGGATCAGATGAACATATCATGTCTTTACTAAAAGTAGTAACTACACTTCATGATACTTGCCTATTGAGTTTCGATAAATCGATTATAAGTACATTTATACAAAATCTTAAAAGACATAGTGAACGCATCATGATTATGATACAACCAACTATTACTCAGTTTCTGCAAGATAGAGCATTGAATATTTTAAATCAATTTGCTGTTTCGTACTGGACAGTCATCAGAAGAACAGATTATATGGGTGAGCTATGGAAAAAGCAAAACACAGATCCTTATGATGGATTGTATACTTGTCAATATCAGTCAAAATGTTTATCGATCAATCTGATTACAGGATCATTTTTAGTAGATGGTGTAACAGTTGGATATTTACCAGCAAAAATTATTTTACATCCATTATTCGTACGTGTTTTCGGTTCTCATGTTTTCGAAGTGCAAGCTTCTAATAAACCTCATACTTATGTTACGAAGTACGCATATCATGGCAATAGACAAGTCGATTATGAGTTTACTTGTAATGAATCTAATCAAAATCTACTTATTTACGAAACACACAAGGAAACAGGTGATCGATTCCAATTAATTCCACATACTTGTTTTCTCACAGATTTTCCAGACAAATTCATTTCTTATTACAGTCACTGGATGAATATAGCAAATCAAACAATCGACTTTCGACCGATCAAATTTAGCAATGCTGACTTTTTAAATGACAAGTCGTACACCTTTGACATAGCAACAGGACATCTTACGAGCACAGATACTGAAAATAAACAAATATTGATCAATCAAACGTCGAGATTTTTCCTAAATCTATTCGAACAATATTTCAATCGTCTTGATGATCAGGCATATATCTATATGATGCAACAGATAACGGACAAAACGAATGCCATCGTTGATATCTATCTGTCTCGTTTAGGAATTGCATTTCAATATGATACTGTAAACAACATAATTGTATCACGTGAATATGCTGATATGCGTGTCAGTGAAAATCAACATTTTGGAACATTAACAGGCTTAACATTTGGTTTACTTTTAGTACCTTTATCTGCTAGTAAAAACAAAGAAGATTATTATCCTTATAGAAAAGTAATAATACCCTTCGGAACGGTAACTGCTCGAAGTCAAACATCTGATCATCAAACTGTCAGTGTCGAACGATTATCTTCAAGAACTTCTCTGGAATATTTCGTTTTTATATTAAATGATCGATTAAAAATTCTTCAATCAACAGATAGTCCAACTGGTTGGCTTTACCTAGCATTATTACATGCAATGACAACTCATCCTCTTCCCGATCAATATATTTGTATGACAGGCATGGAACGAGCTTTCCAATTATTAAATTCAGCTGGTTGTTGGTCGGATGAACCATTTAATAGTCTTTCTCTAAAAATTTTAATTCAAATTGCACAGATAACACCGATAGTTCATTATTATCCCAAAAATCTTTCTTGTTCAATCAATATAAGTTGGCACGCGAATGGTCTACCGTATTCTACTCAACATTTTGGTTATTATTTTCTTGCAAAAGCAATAATAGAACATAGTCAACAATTGAAGTTCATATATAAATCATCTTCAAACAACCAACGAATGTTAAAAATATTCGATGGAAAAACATATAATGAATCTTTAATGAAAAAACTCTATTGGGACTATCGAGATTCTTATAATCCACTAGCTCGTCTATCTACAGAAATGGAAGCGACCCTATTACCAAATCGTGCGACAAAGCCATATTGCTCAGATTTAGAATATTGCTTACACAAAACAGATTACACTTCTGTTGATCTAACAGATGATTTATACAATAGTGGCAATGTACATCTACGAGATTGTTCGAATCAACACTGGTTGCCATTGAATCAATGGTTATCTGAAGAAAATACATTAAACATCATATGGATTGGTTTATTAAAAATGACCGATTGTCTGAAAACATCAACAAGCGCAGATAAAGATGATAATATCAAACGATTTGAAAAGATGATTGACTTTCTTCATTATATTGCTGACAGAGTTTCATTGAATCCATTTTATTTACAAATGTTGAAAACAGCATTAAAAGAAATACCCGATACAATATCATCGATTCATCCCTACCCACCATTTATCTATTACTCAAATATCGAACACATTGACGTACAATCGTTTCAGTATGATCCGAATTTAATGTCTACAAAGGAAGTAAAACAGACTAATAAATTATTAACATATTGGCAGAATAATAAAAAACTTCGATTATTTCTTGAAGATGTTGAAAATTCGATTTCCTATCCTATGGAAGAATTCAATATGCAAGTACAATACATTCCACAACAGTTCGAAATCGAATCTTTTGATGAACATTATAAGGTACAATTGAAACCTATGGCGAATGATATTAATCCAAGACTATTATTGCAAGCAAAGGAAAAATTTCATCAGATGTACACAGGTTATTTCAAGAGACCAGCACGACTTGTTCAGACATTCACTACTGAAAAGAAAGATTCATTTTTCGATCAATTTTTTCCTTCTAATAACCAAGATGATAATTCATTAATCGATATTGCTAATTACTTTAAAAATCAATTGAAACAAAGTTGGCAAAAACTATCGTCCGAAATTCATACTCAACAAGAAAGATCAACAAATGCTGAAATAAACGAGTGTCTCAATCATTTACGTCAAGAATCTATAGAAATTTGGCAAGAACTTATCAAATCTATCACTCAGTCTAATATACAAATATTTCAATGTGGTTTAGGATTACGCATAACTCCAACAACATTGATTTCTCTCTTTCAACAGAATAAAAAACAATTGAATTTAACGAATGATGAACGTACATTATTAGGAGGTGTTCTTGTTTATTGGACATTGGAACAACAACTTGAACGAGCATTATATTTTGATACTCATGATAAAATAGAAGATTTAGAAAAAGAACTTTCAAATATTCCACATTCAAATTGGATACCATCTGAACATATATCATGGCTTATTTTAGAACTCGAAATGAATATAACCATTCGAGAAATGCAAATTAAAGTTGCACGTCATATGATGCAACCAAATTCGAATTTAAATAATCAAGAAATACAAAATATAGTTATGCAAATGAATATGGGCGAAGGAAAAACATCAGTGATTTTACCTATGTTAGCTGTTAGTTTACCATCATCGTCTTCTAATTTAGTTCGAATCATCATACTCAAATCATTATTTCCTACAAACTATCAATCATTACGTTGTAAATTAGGAGGTCTAATCAATCGGCGTGTATTTCCATTTATATGCCGTCGAGATTTGAATTTTACTGATGAACAAATTCAATCAATTCATTCTCGTTTACGAAAAGCTTTACTGAATTGTGATATAATGATAACTTCACCTGAAGATATTCTTTCTTATGATCTACTTACTATTGATCAATGTCGACGACATTTTTTTGCAACAGGAAAATCAATGTTAGCAATGCAACGATGGTTGAAAACATATGCTCGTGATGTCTTAGATGAATCCGATGAGATTTTACATGTCAAATATCAGTTAGTTTATACAGTGGGTAGTCAACGACAAGTTGATGGTGGTGCTGAACGATGGAATACTATTCAATCAATTTTAAAATTAGTTAAACAACATGCTGCTAATATTTCAAATGAATTTGACAAAGATGTTTGTTATAAACCATCGGAACGAAAAAGTGCTTTCCCACAGTTTCGTTTACAGTCATCGACACCATTTCGATCTCTATGCGAATATATAGTGAAAGACTGGCTTCGTACTAGAAACTATCATGAAAACGATGAAGAGAGTATTCTAACATTTGTTATGAACGTAGACGTTTCAATTGAAATAGTTAAAGATAAATTTCCTGCCAGTGATATTCAATCACTTCTTATCATTCGAGGTCTGTTATCATCTGAAGTTCTTTTAGTTGCTTTAAAAAAACGATATCGAGTCAATTATGGTGCGAATCGAAAGGATAACTTTAATCATTTAATGGCTGTACCTTATCGTGCAAAGGATGTCGTTGCTGATAGAACTGAATTTGGTCATCCCGATTTGGCTTTAGTTTTGACACATCTATCATATTATTATTCAGGTTTAAATGATGAACAACTAACTCGAGTTTTCGATCGATTATCTGAAGAAGAAAATAATCCTGTAATTATTTATGATGAATGGATTACGTATGAAGGAATAGATAATTTACCAGCTACTATCAAAGAATGGAAAAGTGTTAATCTAAAAGATCATCAACAAAGAACACGCGATCTTTTTCCTATATTTCGATACAATATAGTAGTAATCAATTATTTCCTCAATTATTTTGTTTTTCCTCGTGAAGCTAAACAATTTCCACATAAATTAGTTTCATCACCTTGGGATTTATCGTCATCATTTTCACGAAGACATATTATCACTGGATTTAGTGGTACAAATGATACACAACTATTATTACCGATTCATATTCGTCAATTTGATTTGCCTGAATTACAAAAAACCGATGCTATTGTTGTCAATAATTTATTACAAGTTGAAAATGAGAATTATCAATGTTTAGCTATCAATGCATCATCAACTGAAATCTTAGAAATTATTATGAAAAGTAAAACATCTATCAATGTTATTTTAGATGTTGGTGCTTTGTTTATTGACGGAATGAATAGAGAAATCGCTTTGAAATGGTTGAATCTATCCGATAAAAATAAGATTGATTATGCAGTTTACTTTGATTCGGATTCAATTGTTGTTTGTGATCGTCAATTGCGTCAAAGTCCATTTGCAACATCACCAGCTAGTGAACGATTAGAACATTGTATTTTTTATCTTGATGAAATTCATACACGAGGAACTGATTTTAAATTTCCACGAGGATTTCAAGCAGCCGTTACATTAGGTGTTCATCTAACAAAAGATCGTTTTGTTCAAGCTTGTATGAGAATGAGAAAATTAGGTAATGGACATTCATTGGCATTTTTCAGTTCACATGAAGTTCATCAACAAATTATTCAATTGAAAAAGAATGTCAACAATATTGAAGTAATCGATCTTCTTCGTTGGGTATATGAAAATACTATTGACTCAACGTGGAACGGATTACACTACTGGGCTACTCAAAGTCTTAGTTTTCAACGAAAACTTGCTGCTTTTCGAGAAATTCAATGGAATAATCAAGAACAAGTATTTGATAATGAAATGATGAAACAATTAGCTCAAGATAATTTAGAACCAGAAATTTTAGATTTGATTGATATGTATGGAGAACGAAAGGTTCCTTCAACTTTGTATGATATTCATTCAGCTCGTTATAATGCGACTAACTATAATATAACTGTGAATATTCGCGATGAAGTTCTACAAAGATTAAGAAATTATGGTGGCAAGAAAACACGTTTAGCACAGTTATTAGATGAAGAACAAGAACGAGAACTCGAACAAGAATTAGAAGAAGAACGACAACTAGAGCGACCACCACCAGCTGAACCTTGTGAACGTAAACTACATGACATAATCAAACAGTTGTGTAATAAAAATATTCCAATGATCAATTTAGAAGATCATCCTATGGTATTTCAACATTTACCTTTTGCATTAATAGGCACTACATTAGAAGAGGATTGTCAACCAAAGAGTTGGTATTCAAATCTATGGATTTCCACCGAATTTCAACGTGTTATTGCTACAGAAGATGCATCATTAAATTCATTTTTACGTCCACCACGTTGGATTGTTGTCTATCGAAATCAACATATTATTTTCGTTAGTTCTTACGAAGCCAATTGGTTGTTGGGTCGATTGTCATTGATCGACTCACCAATCACTACTTTACGTTTATTTTTGCCACGAATCAAACGTAATCAATCAATATTTGTCAATACATTACCACTTACTATTCCTCCGTCGATCAATGTTTCAAATGAAAATGATATTTATCTCGTTCCACTGGATCGTTTAGTCCAGTTATTTCTCTTCAACGGTACTCTCTATTTTGACAATACTGAAGAACAAACAATGTTTTGTCAATGTTTGAGTTTATGTCCAAAAATTCGAAATGAAATCGAAGAGAACGCTTTTCAATCCCATAAAATTGATATCGATGGATTTGTACATTCTGAACATCGCGATGAATTACAGATTACCCATGCTCGATTAAAAGAAAATCCAATTGATTTTGTAAAACAAATTCTTGAAATTCGAAATAATATTTTTCCTACAACAACATCACACGTTGGTAGTATCATTCTCAACGCTTTCAAACTTTTCTAACGAATTCAAAGTTAAATGTAATTAAATTTTTTTAAAAATAAACAAGACTTGTTATGTTTGTTGTTCTTTCATTTCACTCTTAAATATTTGAGTGAGTGGGTATGTGATGAGTATACCATCATATCCACACTCTATTTTCTTTAATTAATTATAACTATCTTACCCATAGATATGTCAAATAATTCAATTCTAATGAGAGAAAAAACTGAGTGGTTTTCACCAACGTTGATATTGGTGTTATCAGCACCCACGACTGTTAATTCATTAATATCCAAATAATTATTATCGATCAATTGTCGAGCATTAGTAAAAACTTTATTCGCTGTTTCATCTACATCTGTTATCAATTCAAAAAGGTCGAAGATAATAAATTAAATTCAGAAGAACAATACCTTTGCTGACATCATTTGTGAATAAGAACTGAACACAAAAATGGATACATTTTAATATTTCCTCTTTTTACCAGCATCGTACATTAACGAATAATGAAATGCTCTTCTCAAATCATCAATCAAATTTTATGTAAAACATGGTGCTAAAACATTCAGGGCAATAAATGTTGATTTTGTTCAAGCGCACGATAAATGAGTTGCTGTTGTAGAGAACGAGAACATTTTTTTACAGACATTATCAATCTTTTTCTTTTGATGATTTCATTGTTTTTGTAATTAATTGTCGATTAGTATTAAATGATTTATAATTGTTTTGATGCTTTTAAGTTTTTCTATGATGGTCAATATCAGCTTTTCCTCGATAGTGTACTGAAAATTGCTGGTTACAAGCAATGCATGTGGCCTGAGTTATACTCTTTCGAAAATAATTTATATTCTATGATCTTTAACCATTCTTTGTTAAATATTCCTTTTTTCAACTTCTTTTTTTTCGATTGACCATTGGATGATATTTGTGACTTGATTGTTACTGATGCTTTACTATCTTCATCTTGATCGATATAGCTATCAATAACATCAGTCATTTTATTCTGCTAAGCACAAATATTACAGCTTATTATATTCTTAACCAACAACGAACAATAGACAGAATATTGTATACAATGAATTGAAAGATTTGGATGATTGATCGGAAATAATTCAGAAAGAAAGATATCGGTAAAGAAGGGCCTCAACAAGTGGCGTATATATTGGCCGTTTTCATTAACCACTGGAAATTCGAGATCGCCAGCTTTTTGATTTCCATTATACAACAAAAACAACAATATACGTCACTAAGAATTCATCGGATATATATGGAATAATGATGTATTAGAACTGAAATCGAGTTAAAAATGAAAAGCAAATAATATTTAAAAAGCAGAAAAAAATTGAAAAAGCAGAAGCGGTGGTAACCTTGGTTGCAAAGTTTTGTTGAAGTTCTTAATACAGAGTGAAGATAAATGTTAGTCTGTATTGTATAATGTTTCATAAGAGTAACGTACTTAGTAGAGTAGTAAAATATTAACGAATAAATAAAGATCACCCATAAATAAGCCTTAACAATGCAAGAGGACGCTGACAGTGTTCGAAGTTGAACCAGAGTTTGCAACAATAATATCAGGTTTGTTATCACTATTTACATCGGCGACTGCTACTGAGTATGGACTAATACCAACTGCGTAAGTAGTTTGAGCAGTAAAGGTACCATTGCCTGCGTTGGCAAGGATACTGGTAGTGTTCGAAGCATAGTTTGCAACAATAATATCAGGTTTATTGTCACTATTGATGTCGACAACTGCTACCGAAATTGGACTACTGCCAACTGCATAAGTAGTTTGAGGGTTAAAGGTACCATTGCCTGTATTGAGAAGAACACCGACGGTATTTAAATCAGAGATTGCAACAATAATGTCTGGTTTATTGTCGCTATTCACGTCGACGACTGCTACTGATGTTGGCATACCGCCAAGTGCGTAAGTACTTTGAGGATTAAAGGTGCCGTTGCCTCTGTTGAGAAGAACGCCGGTGGTATTTGAACCACCGTTTGCAACAATAATATCAGGTTTATTATCACTATTTACATCGATGACTGCTACGGATCGTGGATTATGTCCAACTACGTAAGTAGTTTGAGGATTAAAGGTGCCGTTGCCTGTGTTGAGAAGAACACCGACGGTATCTAAACCATAACTTACAACAACAATATCGGATCTATTGTCGTTGTTCACATCGACGACTGCTACTAAAAATGGGTAATTATTAACTGAATACGCAGTTTGAGTATTAAAGATGCCACTGCCTGCGTTGAGAAGAACACCGACGTTGCCCGAATTCCAGCATGCAACAACAATATCAGGTTTATTGTCGTTATTGACATCGACGACTGCTACCGACTGTGGACCAGTGCCAACCGAGTAAGTAGTTTGAGCATTAAAGGTGCCGCTGCCCGTGTTGAGAAGTACACCGACGTTATTCGAATCGAAGTTTGCAACAACAATATCGGGTTTATTGTCGCTATTCACATCGACGACTGCTACTGATACTGGGTTAACACCAACCGAGTAAGTAGTTAGATTAAGAAACGTATTGCAGCCTATTAAATACAAAAAAGTTTGCTATCACATGAAACTAAAGGTTTCGTATTTTACTACGAAACCTTTTTCTAGTGTCCTGAACTTAAGAAAAGGTTTCGCAGAAGAGGGTTCTGTCCCCCTCTCTACACACGGGCCGATCCTTTAATGATTTCGTAGAGTTTTTTATTGTGTTTTTCAGACATTCAACATGTCTGAAGACTTTTTCGTTGCGACGAAACTTTTTTGAGGGTTAAGTAAAGCACCAATTGTTTTTAGAGTGTGGACAGTATTCAATCATCCTATTTTGTTCAATCTTTGAGAGTTTAACGTCATTGAACATAGCTTATTCGAAAAAGATCATGTCACTGAATTTTGGACAATTTCATATATTCTAAAGCATAACTAAAGTCAGTTTTCAGCCATTCTGCCCAGCTCTATGTGAAAACTTCTCGTAAATTTGAAAAATCAACGAAATCATCTTACTCTACTTACAACTTGCGCTCGTTTTAATAGAATTTTACGAAATTCTCGACTAAGAGGCCGCAGAATACTTTTCAAGCAGAATTCAGAATTCTATACATGTATCCATAATTTTATTTCAACATATATATCATTCCTTTTTTTCAATTACATTATGATATGGAATTCTATAAACAATATGATAATTATGTGTCACATAAACCAATAATATTTCTACAAAATTCTGAATTCTACTTTTCAAGTATATTACAATTTCCTGTGCACCCACACGCTATTCTCCTTTTCGTCGAGAACAGCTCAACAAAAATAAACTATCTATTTGCGTATTGCGGACCTGTTTTTCAGTATTTTGCACAGGTGTGCATGGAGTTAAAAGCGGAATTACATAAGAGTCTACTAGATGTTATAAAATTAAATCGAGCTAAGCATTACACATTTTAATTATTATAAGTTTTGTTCTCCAATACTTACTATACAAATGGATGTACTTTTCCGATTCGATTACAATTCTCTCACGACTTTATACATGCAATATAAGTCTCCACCAATGTTGACTATGGAAGAATACAAGTTACAATCAATAAAACTTCTAATGATTAGTCTGGCTTATTAGCACAGCATCTAATAGACTCTGTACAGCTTCCTACTGATTGATCGAAAACCATTTCAAGAGCAAAAAATGAAGAACGCAGGTGGACGAGACTAAATATGGACCAGCGAGGAGCAACCAAAGGAAAGTTAACAACAACGAGGCTTAGTTATTGTTGACAAAATCCTTGTTAAGCTACTATACTCTAGCGCTATGTTACTATTGAAATTCTTTTGTAAAACTTGAACGAATGGAATTGTCAGTGTTAAGTCCGAATCAACGTCAGTTTTATTAATGTCGGCTCTCGCAGCGGAAGTCTGTACCAACAACACAATGAATATATTTTGTTATGTCTAGATATGACACTCGTCCAAGAAACAGCTGAGGCAATCTCCAGACGAGTATTATTTGTTTATCGAATGATAAACATTTGAACGATGAAATCTCAAATGTTTTTTGGTTAGTGAAACTAATCATCGGCTTGAAAGCTACAAAAAGGTACAACACATTATCTAGCATATTACTGACCGGCTGTTGTTGTTGACGACGTGGATGATGAAGTAGTAGACGACGTGAATGATGTTGTTGTTGATGTTGATGATGAAGTACTTGATGTTGTTGCTGACGATGTAGACGACGTTGATGATGAAGTAGT